TTTACAAGGAATTAGGAGAAATAGACTACGTATTTCATCACACAATGGTGGTCCTCACTGAATACCTTCATCTAGACTAGTGGTTCATAAACTATGACATCTGGTTAAATCCTACCTGCTGCCTGCTTTTGTAAATAAAGTTTCATTGGAACCCAGCTACGCTTACTTGTTTATGTATTATCTGTGGCTGCTTTCACATTACAATGGCAGAATTGAGTAGCTACAACTGAGATTGTATGACCCATAAAGCCTAAAATATTTGTTACCTGGCCCATTCCAGAAAAAGTTTGTTGATCTCTGATGTAGACTTATAAAAATCAAGAAACAAATGATTCTCACTTAAGCAGTATTTCTACATTTGTTAAACTTTTCCAGTTAGCTTTAATATTTCCCATAAAAATGTAAGAAACTGTGGTGAAATTGGTGCAATGGTTTCTTTCCTATGTTTCAGGGGATAGTGATAATGACTAGAACAGACTGCAATTCAGGGAGCCAGTGAATTAAAATCCATTGTCTCTAACAGAATAATTCTCTTCCATCAGCCAAGCCTCTCACAGAGCCCATGATACAGTGTGAGGAGAAAGCTGGTGGGAAGGTAGAGGGAGTCTTCCTCTGCACTCTCCTAGGTTTAATTTCAGAAGACTTCCAGATGATCCGAAACTCTTACTGGCTCTTAGATTCTCCACAGCCACCTCTAGAATAAACCTTGTTAGATTTACTTGCCTTCCAACAAGCTGGTATAACAAATGATTCTTCCAAAAAGTGTTCTGTGGAAGACCAGTCTGGAGAGATGCTCCTGGAACCACGAGCTCCCTGGGAAGCTCGGCACACTGTATCCACCTCCTGGGTACCAGTAATTCAGACTGTTCTTCTAAAAGACCCAAGGAGGCTACCTGTATACTTTGTTTAACTTTGTAGGGCAAGAACAGCTTTTTAAAAGTAACACCCATTAATTTATCATGAAAAGAGAATTCAAGGATCATAGTTTGAGCCGTGCACCTTGTATCCCCATCTCTTCTCTTACTACTGGGAGAAGCTGGGAAAAGCTGGGATAGAAATTATTGTTTCTTTGTTAGTTTGTCCATCCTTCAATAGAAAATGTCTCTAAACTCCTTTGATATTCTTCAGTTGATTTTATGACTAAAGCATAAAATAATAGGCTATTGCACCTCCACTGAAATCCTTAGTGTAACAGTCTTATGATTATAGATTCACTTTGGAAAGCTCTTTTAGTCTTTGTGGTTCTTGAAAAACATGATCAAAAGGCCAATCATGAGCAGGTATGAGGTATTTTGAAGCAAAATGGTCAACATACATAGCCTAACTTCAACCCAATTCTTTGAATTTAATAGCATGTTGCCATGCCAACCTTTTCATCAAGATGTCCTCAGACCTCGTGTGGATGCTTGCTGTGTTGGTGAACTTGCAGCATTGGTAACTTTGTGTGACTGTTCTCTGAAACTTCTACTGGCTGTGCCTTGAGACTTGAATGGCCTCTTTTCTCTCACATGAGTCCATTCTTCCAAGATGCAAAATCTTTTAGCCTCTGTATTTTGTGTCTTTAATAGACTGAGCCAAGAAGTGTAAACATTCTCCTGAGCTAAGAAACAAGCAACGGAGACCAGAGGAGTTGCGTGTCCCAGCTTTGGTGGTGGCTAGGGGCTCAGCAATGTTGAATCCCAGCAGGGCACAGGGAAAAGAGTCTTGAAACAGGATTTTATTTTATTTGGCTTGGCCACTAGGCATTTCTATCAAATTTAAAGAGCCACATTTTTAAAAAGTGGAGAAAACAAAACAAAATTGTGTGTTCACTTTGTTTGTAAAACCTATCTATGCTCCCTTCATATGTAAAGTGTGACCATTGGACAAGAAGAGTGATAGCATACTCCGCAGCAGTGGTTCTTGAGTTTTGCTTTACACTGGACTCACCTGGGGAGATGTTTAAATCCCCATGCCTGGGCTACATGCAGACCAATTAAACCAGAATGTCTGCTGGTAAAACCTAGGCATCAGTGCTCCCAAATCTCTTCAGTTGATTCCAACTTGCAGTCAATATTGAGAACCACGCTCTAGATCTTAAAGTCTGAATTTTATTCCCCAAATCTCTGTCCTTAAGAGATGATAACTAAGAGTGATTGGGGGTAATTCTAATGAGTAAATAAGGCAGGACAAAGAAGCAAATAATTTAAAGCATAAGTCATACTCTTGGTCCTTAAAATCCTTTGCTTGTGGAAAAATACCATTTTAGAAATGAATTATCCTATGCAAGGTCGATTTCTGGTTCCTTTTCTCATCCAGCATTCCGGAAAGGCAGTTTTGGCTCATGGAAGAGTGAGCTGGACACCCTGAACTCAGGAGCCATGTTACCAGCTCTGGTCTTCCTGGTTGTTGTCTCACTACTCCTCCCGCCCTGGCTAATGTGCTTCTCTGTTGCCTTACTGCTAACAGCTTGATGCTCCCAAAGTCTAGAACAGCACGATAGTCTTCTGAAATCTTTGTACCCTAAGTATCTACAAACTGCCTTAATTATTTTAAGGAGATCCAATTCCTTACTTCATTCATAGAAAATTTGAACTGGGGAGATCATTTTCCTAAGGGTCATGGCTTTCTGGAATAGTTGAATCAAAGAGGAAAATATTTGGTTAGAATCATGTACTATTAAAATCGAAAGCCAGTAATTTAAGAAAACATCTGATAAGTCTAGAGAAAATCATGCTTATGTCTTCCAGCAAGGAAGGCAATGTTACTGTATATTTAGTGTTCAGTTATTTTCAATCTGAAATGCATACTTTGGATTGGGTAGAACTCTCCCTGGTGTACGTTGATCCTTATACTGCTACCCTCAATTTGAACCCACTGGAATGTGTCTTAGTGTGAGCAGGAGAACATTGCTTTTGTTTATCTTTGTATGTGCCAGTTCATAGCACAGTATCTGGCTTATTGTAGGTGTTAAGAAAATATTTTGGAAAATAAATGAAGGATTATTTGAGATTTGTATGTTTAAGAAGGAAGTAGGGCTTCTCTAGTAGTGTATGTAAATTTGATGTCTAGGTATTCATGTTACTCTATTGAGTCTTTCTAGATGTCCCCTATAGTTAGGTACTTAAAAATGATTAATATCAACCTGAATGAGACCACAGCTGGACAATCTAGAGAAAGGTACTCTAATCTTCATTTGATACAGACTACTAGGAAACCCAAAAGCCTGGCAAAGATTGACACCCCACTTCAGAGAGAACTCGGAAAGCCATGCTGGTATATAATGACTTCAAAACTTAGTAACATTTATTCTTTAAAAATGGAATGACATCAGAACCCACTACCACAGACTCTGAAACCAGAACAAGACCACCACGTAATCAACGTGGTTTTGTTTGTTTGTTTGTTTGTTTGTTTTGTATCCAGGGCCCCTACACATGGCGGTTCAGTCTCCCTCCCTGGTTGTCTCCCTCACCCAGCTGAGTTGGGGTCTATGGACCAGGAGCATCAACATCCCCTATGAGCTTGTTAGAGATGCAGAATCCTGGGGCTCCCCCAGATCCACTTAATCAGGTTCTGCATTTTAACAAGATCCCTCAGATGGTCTATATGCTCAATAAAGCTTGAGAAGTACCAACACAACAGATCTGGAAGCACAGGCCTTCAGATTTTGCAACGATCATTTCCAGATTATAAAATAACTACATAGGAAATGTTTCAAGGAAAAAAAAGAATCGCAAAAACGAACAAGCAACAAGACAGTCAAAAATGAGCGGACGTATTGTTTTAAAAAAGCAAATTGAACATCTGGAATGAAAAAATAGTTTAAAAATACTCAATAAAATGTTATAAAACAAACACGAAAATTTGTTGTTTGTTGCTTCAGCTGGCTGTTACCCACAGTGGTTATTTTCCTTCTTCTATGTGTTATTTTTTTTAACTAAACTCATATTTGATTGATCTTAATCTTTAAAAATCTGGGAGTTCGTGTTGGGAGTCTTCCCTTTGTAGAGGTTTGCATTCGTTTCTGCCAGGAATCAGAAGGTAGTACTAGCGTGCTACCACTCCAGCTCCTGTCCTGTTTCCCTGGTTTTATCCAGGAGTCTCCGGCTTACATCACTGCCTCTGCTTTTTCACGGCACTAAACCTAACCTCCCAGCACCACTGATGCTGGCAGCTGCCTCTACAGGAGCTCCACCCTCCGTAAGCACCCACCACTTGGTTACGGCTCCTGGTTTGTTAGTTTTTCTTTCCTGTCTTGGAGCTAGGACCTACAATGTATTTTTTTAAATGTCTGATCTGGTTGTTTTGTGGGAGGTGTGCCCTCCAGATCAGCTAGTCCATTGAACTGTGGGAATTGACTCTGCTAAGGCTATTTTTCATAGATTAGATACTAGCTTTAAACACACAACATTTTTGCTGAAGTAGACCACAAACTCTTAGACACGAGTAAGCCCTGGCACGGATACTAGAGACCACAAAGACCTGATAAAAAAGCACAACAAAGGCAGAACCGTATGTTCATGGCTATCATTTTGCCAACATCCTGTTGTAGGCATTGTTTATGTTTGAAGAAGGCAAAAGCTGGTTATGGCTTTTTGGCTGTTTCTGAATGAATCAAATATAAATTGACACCTTTCCTGAAAACATGTCAGAAAAAATGATAAACCTTACTTTCTGAACAAACTTAATTCAATACACCCCTCTCCTTCACATACCTAGTAGATGAATATCTCCACACACACACACCTCTACAGGATAACTGAAGGGGACACCATGGTTCTCCATTTTATCGAGGATAAAAGCTTTGGGATTTGGAACTGGAGTCAGTGTAAATGTCCACTAAGGCAGGCTCTTGCCAAGTTCCTTAATATCTCCAAGTCTTGGTCACACTAACTTTGGGGTTGAGGGATGCCCTGATAGAACCTGTCTCTAGCAGGATTCTGGCCCGTGGGATGGAACTTCTTGGGGGGTGGGAGTGTGGGACAGGACAGTGGTTTCCATGGCTTCCTTTGACTTACACAGCATCCAGCTTCGTTCCATTGAAAGCACGCCCTTCAACTGAAGTAAAGCCGTTGTTGTATAGTTTCCTACAATCAACAGAGAGAGGAGAAGTCAGTGACCTACAAGAAGTGGTGCTAGCCCTTTTCTGAGGGTTGGGCTTCATTTCTTCATCAGAAATGAGCTCAAAGGTTCTTACGTCCCACACATGAGCCCCACAAGCGAACTTTCCACTGTGTCTTGTTTAGGACACAGAATATTTCCCAGTTTGAATCCCCATTCTCCAGAATTAGCTCCTACTTACTTTAAGCTGTTTCTCAAAAGCAGATTCCCTTTGAGAAACAAAGATTTACCACCACTGAGGATTCTTAAAAAATGTTCTACATACACTCAAAAAACAGGGTTGTCAATGTCAATAATGGAGGAATGACTGCAGTTTCTTAAGATGGAAACTTTTAAAGATATTATTCATCTGAATGCATAGATTTTATATTTTTCTATTTAAAATGTTATTTCACGTTTGTATTTTATATTTTATCTCTGGGGCTTTTCATCAATTAAATAATTAAAGGTTGTGGACTTAATTAAATTGACCTTCAGAGACAATTATAAGAAAAGAAACAGACTATGCCCTTTTGTGGAAATTTTAATGTTTTAACTGGTTGCTGTATTTCTGTAACTGATTTTCATGCAGTGATTCATAGAAGGGACTGAATTGAAGTGTTACCTCCTCTATTTTCTAGTCAAGTTACGGAGACATGGAGATGACTTATCAAAGCTGTATTGATATAGTGCTACTGGGAATCAAGATTTCTGAACTCAAATGCAATTCTTCCTACCCAACAAAAGCACACAGTCTTTCTGCAGGAGAAGAAGCCCCAGCTGTGGGAACTTTGGTCTACCTGGGGATGCATACGGGCTACTGGGTGCTACTGGCATGAGATAACAGAAGGTGGCTGTGACCACAATCAGGCACAGCTACTGGCATTTATAGGGTAACTACACCCTGTGAATTCTGGTAACACATTAAGAAGCACTCATGAGACTCCAAATTTGGAGTTAGACCTGGCTCTGTCACTTCATAGTAAGTGATTCTGAGAATTTCCCAACCTCTGTTAGCCTCAGTTTCCTTGTCTATGAAAATATGGTAATAGTACCTAATTAAAGGTTGTTGGGAGGATCAAATACTATACATTTAACACAGTGAGGGCTGCTTATGAGACGGCCATTTAATATAATACCCTGAAAACTTGGATTTATCCAGTGGAGTTTTAGAGAACTGAGAGGTAATCTTTATTGATTTTTCTTTTAAATAATTACACAATGAGTTTAATTCCAGCTACTAAGGTGTCCTGGGTGAGACTTGCAATGCACAAGGATGCTAGGCACAGAGGTTGAGAAAGCTCTGGTACTTTCTCTGAACTTGAGTTCTTTTATGAAGATGTGACAATTATACATTTGATATTTCTGTTTTCCTGCACTTTCTGAGCATCCTAGACAATAAAAATAGTCTTTGTTGGAATTACATTTCAGAGACTAAATAAAACTTTTATTGGACAGGTAGGCCTTGAAAAAGGTAAAAAGTGAAGAAAGACAAAAGGATTGCAAATCTTGATTGAAACTATCCTACCAGGAATATGGGTACAAATTCTGCTCTGGGCACTTATCCATTCATGTTTATAGTTTCCTGAGCATGAGCTTTAAAGAATCAAGGACTTTAGCAGGAATGTAGAAATAATCATCTGGAAAGAACATAGACAACCCATGCCATTCCCCAGCCAGATTTCATTCGGATGTTTATCAGATATATACTGGGTCCTCTGCTAGGTGTGGGAAGCATTCACTTGAGAGGACTGCTTGGGATATGGGGTCCTAAAAAAAAAAAGGCAAAAGCTGAAGGTAATATTCTGTTAAGAAATTGAGAATGGAGTTTATGCACAATGAGCGGTACTTGGCATAATGGCAACGTTTACAGAGGAGGTAAGTAGGCTAAGTCCCAGGTCTTCGCTGTGTTGTCAAATGAAATAGTGGTTGAGAAGGAGTCTCTTGTCTTTTCAAGCGAGTCCTCTCTATGTTTCAAGGAGAAGGATGGACTGAAATGCTCCACTGTGGATAGAGTCCCAGATGTGGGATATCTTCATAGTGCCTAGATTGGTAGACAGATTTGGATTGGAAGAGCTGTGTGGAACTGTAGATCAGTTTTGCTGGAGAATAATTCAGTGAGGTTTGTATGTGATAAAGAACCCCTGGACTGGACTGTGACCAGAGAAAGGGAGCTGGGTGATAATCCAGTCAAAAAAACTACCAGGCATGAACTTGGGCATGTACTGAATCAAGACAGAAGGGACCCTTTGGTCAAAGCCCCAAACTCTACTTTGTGGCTCATTTGATGAGAGGGTAATTCTCTGCTAGCTAGGAGAATTAACTTATCTTTTATAAGTCTACTAGACCTTTTTTATTAGAACATTTTGTGAGTTTCCCTGATCAAGCACCTCCCTTTGAACATCTGAAGGACAGTACCCATGCAAACTCTGGAAACATGATTATGTAGATCGGTGCTAATTTTCTATTTAATATATTGTCATAGAAATTTAATAATAGTTTATCATTATAGGGTTAAAGTGTGAGTACAGAGAGTATGAAAAGCCCTTCACAGCACCATTTGCTAACTCAGTGACCTTAGGAAAGCCACTTAAATTTGCTGTAACCCCAGCTTCTCCCACTGTACAATGGGGATACTAGAACACAGAATATTACATGATAAGGCCTACAGGTCAAATCTGGCCCACTGTTTTTATAAATAAAACTTTCTTGGAACCCAGCCATACTTATTAGTTAATGTATTGTGGATGGCAGCTTTGGCCACACAATGGCAGAGTTGAGCAGTTGCCAGAAATGCCATGTGTTCAGTAAAACCACACTGACTCTTTACAGAGAAAACATACTCCCCATTTCCATAAGGTTTTGCCACCTAAACCATTTTGTCATCTATAGAGTACCATACCAGAAGGCACTACTCTTATTTAACTATGGGAAACCCTTGGTAGGCCACAGAGCACAGGGTAGCATGGCTCTTGGACAGCTTGTAAAAATATGACAATGGCCCAAATAAAAATTCAGTTGTTGACAGAGTAGAAATGCAATACTCACAGTGTCAAGGTCTCATTGCACAGTCCCTGAAATGCGTTCTCAGGGATTGAGGTCATGTAAGGGTTGTCTGTAATTTCACTGCACAAGAGGACAAAAACACTTGGTGAAAGACATGGTTTCCTTCTGGAGCTGCGCTCTTGCAGCATATATGTGCTTAAATACACAACCTGATGCAATTCCGTTTAGTATTATTTCTTTGTAAGTTTCTTTGATGCTTCTTAGCCACTCGTGGCTCCATGGTCCAGTGAGGTGGTGAGACCTGTTCTAGGTAGACATGTACTCAGAACCCCAAACGTGCAGGAAGAGCGTGAGCTTGGGGTGCGGGCTGAGGTCCCTGGTGTAATCCTCATTTGCAAGAGGAGCAGGTGGGGCCACACATTTCTGATGAATCTGCAACATATACTTTGTCCATAGCAACTACAGTTTTCTAGATGTATGGAACCTCTAAAAAGTGTCAGTAGAATGGGATCCATGGATTTCATTTCATGATTAATACTAAAGTACCCTCCACTTGAAAAACACTGCCAGGAAGATGGTCCTGGAGAGCATTTCTATGCCTGTCTGGGTGCTGGACAACTGCCTGTATTCTGAACTGAGCTCCTACCGCACCAAAGAAGCATGGTCATTTTTTTCTAGCAAAATCCCAAGAGTTTGGATCTTGTCACTCCACATTTTGCTGATTCTGCAGTGCAGACTGAACCTGTAGCTGTCTCTGCCTTTGTCTGTACATGCTGTACCTTCACTTCTGTACAGCTAGGTAAGGCCCTTGACTGTGTCATGGGCTTTGGCAAAGAGCGCACGGCCAGCCATCAGCAGTCACAGGAAGTAGTTTGAGCACCGCAAGTGTCTGCTCAGACAAAATCACTTAGGTTTTCTATTCCTGTTTCCTAAATTATACAATGGAAAAATTGTATTTCCTTTTATGTCTGATAAGGTGCTTGGGAGAAGCAAATGCGATAATGCATGAGGAAGTGTTTGAAAAGATGTTAAAAGTTATGTGAAAAATAAAGTATGATCAAATTTCCCTTGTATTCAATCACTCCAACAGCAAACAAACCTGCTATAATTTCTCCCATTAAAAACAAACAAACCTTTTCCTCTGACCCAATATCCCCCAGCTACTGATATGTTTCCTGCTCCTTCTCCACAGATTTTGTTATGACAATGCTCTCTCACTTTCCCCCTTTGATTCTTTCTTGAGCCCACTCTGACCAGACTTCTCTACTCCCCTGGACCTGTTCCTATCAGAATCATCAGTGCCCTGTGTTACTAAACACAATGGCCACTTTTCAGTCTTTGCCCCACTTTACGCAGTGCCTTTGGCACAGCTGATCATGGCTTCCTCCGTGAAACAATTGTTTCTCTTGGTTTCAACCAACCCCTCTGGCTGCACCCTAGTTTTTGTGAATGACAAATAAAATACTGCCAAATGTTACCTGTGTGCATACTTACAGGATAAAGAACACATCATTGGAATAAACTTTGGTCAGGTCAGGGAACACCCTAAGTCCAGTGTTGAAAATGCCACTAAAGTACATGAAAAAAAAAAGAAAAAGGATAGAAATAAGGTAAGAAAATCAACACATAAGGAGCAGAATAATGTAATAGCCGAAGGCACGGGTTTTCATATCAGACTGTAGTCAAATCTCAACCCCTTTATTAAATATCTGAGTGACACTGGGCAAGTTCTAATCTCAGATGAGATGACCCTCCCTCAAAGGACAAGAATCTGCCAGTCCACCAGCATCAATACATCTTTTCTGTTCAGAAGAATCTGGGGATTGTTTGAAACAAGTGGAATTCCTAGAAATAGAAATTCAGGTTTCTTTGGTGTGTGTGTGTGTGTGTGTGTGTGTGTGTGTGTGTGTGTTTCTGTGTGCTTGTATGTGTGTGATTTCCTTGTTTTAAATGGAAGACATTATGTGGTGAGGATGGAAAAAGGAGAGGATGGGGCATGAGGACAATATAATTACTCAACTTCAAGTCAAGCTTCCTCTTTTGAACTCTATATTGTGTTCATTATTTTGCTAAGAATGGTTTTCCCATGCAGTCACCTAGGGGCACCCTGGCAGCAGTACCATGTAAAAACTAGGTTCAGACAAGGAAAAAAATCAGTCAAAGACAATGTCTTCACTTTCCAAAGTTTGTGTCATTCAAGACAAAATGTCAAGATTAAAAGGTGTACATAAAGGAGCATGAATACAAAACCTCCCAGCCTCCCGATGTCCACATTTAGTTGTTCTAACATTTGTTGCAGCCAGTTGAATGTAGGTAGTGGAAACAGATTTTCCTGAAAGGCTTGTCATCACGTAGGTTGAGACCTAAACACTACCAGGAAAGCCTTAAAGTCTTCTCGTAGAGAAAACTCTAGTTCCAGCGATGTGCCTTCCTAGGCCACATCCTTCTAGGGGGGAAGGCATAAGATTTGAAGAGGAAGCAGGAGTCAGAGGTTCCAAAAAGACCAAATGGAACCTTCCATATAACAGCAGAAAGGGGTAAGATTCCATAAGGAATATTTGAAGAGGCGCAAACAAACTAGTTCAATTGCAATAGGGGTTCATGTGGAAGAGCAGGGGTGGGGGAAGGCCCAGGAGGCAAGTGAGGACCATATAGGAAAGGGCTGGAAGTACCAGATTAAGAACCAGCACATCTCTCTTTGAAAATCCTAAACAATTCCATCTCCTTTTTGATTTCTCATCTAATTACTTGTACTTCCCCCAAATAATATAAACACTTCTCATTTGTCACTTACCATTATTCTCCTGTAGGAGAGAAACTTTTCACTTTCATATACAATATTTTCCCAAAATATTGGTAAGCTTCTGAAGACAAGGGTAATGTTTTATTATCCTATATGTTCCCCACAGAGCCTTACATAAAGTAGGGAACCATCATATTAAATAGATTGATTGATTGAAACTCAAAGTCCATAGAGGAGTGATTACCTTGTCCCATATGTTCTTATTACCCCCCAGATATCCCTTCCAGCCACATACACCATCAATGTGTTCTATTCTCCCAGCATCTCCCATTCCCACCTCTTCAGTACTGAATATTTTTAGTTCCCCCATTGAACTACCTAGTTCCATATCTTTGTGTCTTTATCATGCTATTCTGGCCACCTGTATTTCTCCTCCTCTCCCCCTTCTTTGCCAGGATAACTTCTATTCATCTTTGAAGACTTATTTCATAAAATATATAGGGACATATGCTTTTATTTAAAAAGCCCTAGATTGAAATAAACTAATTCATTAATAGTGATTATTTCTGGATATTGGGATTAAGGTCAATTTTTATTTATTTTTTCCTCATAATTCTTTTGTGTTCTATTTTTTTACAAAATGCATGGGAGCAGGAAAGAAGGAAAGAAGAGTTCTTCCAGCCAGTGCCTAGAGGACCTGAGGCCATAGATACACATTCACTGAACACATTTTTATTGAGCACTTACTCTGTGCTGGGCAGTAAAAATGCAATAGAGAACAAAAATGCTGTGGTCTCTGCTCTCATGGAGGCTATGTTAGCTCATAAAGAGTCACCAAAGCAAAGCAGTAAGTGCTGACCCTTCCATTTTGTCCCCCAACCTCCAAGAGATTGGATTTTTCCCTTTATAGTTTTTTGGGTGGCTATGTAATAGTCACTGTCATATTGCTGTCATACTCATCATTTCCTAATAAAATTGACCAGTGGGCTCTCAGAGTTTTTGTCTTATTCTGTTTTGTTCTGTTCTGTTATATTCCATTTAAAGACTATATATACACAGTGGCATCTTCTCCCTCACGTCTCTTGAAGCAGGTCTCTGGTCCCAGCACTCTGTCGTGAACTTTCAAGTAGGGCTTTAAAGTGTGGATCACTTCACCTTATACCTTTCCTGGGAAAGGGCAGGAAGTCAGTCATAGGACGTAATTTGCCTCCAGGCCATACAACCCTGAACCTACGCTAGCCTACCTCAGCCCACAGAGACTCCTGGCAGACAACAGCATTATAATTCTCTTTTCTGAAAAAAAGGAAGGATGGGATATGAATAATACTTACAGGAACTTCAGAAGCGGGAGCTCTTTGAGGGCACCGGGGTCAATGTAAGTTAAGCTTCTGGTATTCCGAATCTCTCTGTACAAGTTACAAGAAGCACATAACCCATAATACACCCATTTCTGCTCTTATCAAAGGTTAAACATGAATTAGGTTTAACAAATGTTCATAAAAAGAGTACACCTTCATGTGGTGCCTCAGGGACTGTTTCTGCCAGGATCAGTCCATCAACAACAAGCTATTCCTGGCTTCTCGCAGGGACACGAGGGCTGTTCAGCCCTCTCCCATCACTGACTTTGTTTCAGTCTATTTGAAATTACGGCTGACCTTTCTTTTAATTGTAGTTCTCAGAGCCTTTCCCCCCCAACCCCAACCCTCCTCTGGGTTTAAAAAGAAAAGAAAAGTCTCCAGTGGTTTCTTGAGGACAGGTGTCTTTGTTAGGAACAATAGCACGTATCCTGGCCTTGGAGCGGGAGGTTGAGTGGATTGCATAATGACGACAGCACAGCGGGGAGGAGGACGCAGACTTCCTCGGTCAATCGCTATTTCAGAGGCAGTGGGTGGAGTGAGTCTTAACAGTTTACTTGAGCTGATTTTTCTATGACCGTGATTTAAGACTGACGGTTCAGCACATGTGGTATGATATCATGTATGTCTGTAACTTAGATACTTAGGTTTATATACATGCATAGTTTACAGTGAATTAGAGTCTGTTAGAAATAGGCTCTCATTGGCAAAATTAAATGTATTCCATATATATAGATAGGTTAAAAGGCTTTAAAGGCACTCCCTATGTCTATATGAAGAGGAAAGTAGAGCCCAGTAAGACCTGCAGCCTTTCCCCTTCTGGATGGCATCTAAGGCTTGATTCCTAAAGGAACCTGTGTCCAGTTACTGATGGTACAACCAGAAGATTTAGAATCTGGCCTTTGGAATTTTTTGAAACAGTTTTACAGAAGGAGAATTTCCAAAAAAATCATGCATTGCAGTTATATAATTAAATGGTTTTTAGTAAACTTACAGAATTGTACAACCATCATCACTATCCACTTAAGAACATTTCTATCAATGACAAAAGTAATCATATGTCTATTTGCAGTTAGTTCCTATCCCCCTGCCATGCCTAGGAACCACTGATCTGATTTCTGTCTCTAAGTTTGTCTCATCTGGACGTTTTACCAGATGGATCATAAATATGTAAACTTCTGTGTCTGCCTTCTTTCATTTAGCATAAAGTCTGTGAGGTTCATTCACAGTGTAGCCTATATCACTAGTATGCTCTTTTTTATTGCTGAGTAGTCAGATGGATCTAAGATCAAATCTTGGTTCTGCCACTCTGGCTACATGCCCTTGGGCAAGTTCCTTGACCTCTTTGAGCCATAGTTTCCTCATCTGTAAAACAGAGACAATAAGAACACCTCTTTCATATGATTCTTGTGAGGATTTAATAGTGTCCGTAAGGGGTTTGATATATGGCTTAGCACATATATCAAGGTTCTGTAAATGATGATTTTATTATTGTTATTTATTTTTATTATTGTTATTCTCTTGAGTGGAATGAAAGCTAGAGCAGACATCAGAGGCTTGGGGTAGGAGGTGCTGCAAAGCTCATACAAAATTAAAAACAAAACACTAGGTTTGGTATTTGACTAAGGACACTGAGTATAAAACAGACCTTGGAAAAGAGGATGGGATTACTCAGAACAGAAACCATCTATCCCTTCCCCCACCTCTGCTTACTGTCTGTATTAATATAACCTTCTGGTCCATTATCTTTATTAGCATAACTTTTGCCAAGGTAAATAACTTTATTGATTATTATGGGAACTTCTTGAAAGATGCATCAATGCATCAACTGTTTACATCCCAAGACTCAGAACCAACCGCTCACCTCAAAATCTTTGCCTTGCTATGTCCACTAATCCTAAACTATCATGATCTAACCTAACCAAGGACCCTGCATGGAAAGGCCCACTTTAAACTAGATTTTAAATTTTGTCCTGGTTTGAAACTAAAAGCCTTGTATCCCTCTGTCCCAGGTAAACTGGGACGGTTGGCTACCTCATGCACAATCTCATAGCTGTCTCACCTTGCTCCTTGGAGAGACCATATCGGACTCTGCCAAGTCAAGATGGTCTCTGTGCACTGTGAGCAATGAACTCCTTGTCAGAGCTTTGCATCTGGGGAGGAGGGTTCAAACTGCTGCCAATCAAACGTGAATTAGAAGAGTTTGGAAACTGAACTGTGACTTGCAGTCTGGAAGACTGCTCCAGGAGATACTACTGTAGAGAAAGCAGACTTCAGTGAATGGCCCAAGAGAATCTCGCAGTTCTTTGAATCAGCTGTAGAGCTAGAGAATGAAAGGGAAATGAAATACTGCTGTTGGTAACAGCTGATTAAATGAGGCTGGCGATCTACATGGCAGCTGCAAGAGAAGAGGTGGACGAGGCCGCAGGAGAGACAGGGAAACACAGAAGAGGAGATGGATTTCTTGGAGAAAACGTAAGAGAAAAGAGTAAAAAAAGATGGGCAAGAGATACCA